TCATTTTGCAAGATTTTGTGAAAGAAACAACTCAACACAGCGCCTCGTTGGGCGGTGGCGGGAGGAATTCTCCTTTTTCTCCTCCATCCTCATGGATCGCTTCGCTTTCGGATTTCCCGAAGCACATCGTCTCTCACCGAGTCTCTCTGGTGCTCCCTTGCATGCCGAAACCCGTCGCATCAGCGATGACAGGAGAAGAGCAACAGGGAGGACGTCCTTATGCCGAGCCTTTGAATTGTGGGTAACTGAGTTGAACACAAATGCAACAATTGAGATGATAGATCTTGATAACGCGCGGCATACTCGAGAGCTCGAGCCATGAGCTTCAGGTGACGATGGAGGAAGTTATGGTCGCATGGCGGGATTAGGGCAGGAGATGCAGCTCGACGAACCTCGACGGAACGGGAGCGATCACCAGCGAAGAGTCGCCCTTGCATTTAGAGCCTCGATGTTTCTGGTCCAAATGAACACCAAAAACTCTCTATCCGAGGACTGACGGTGAGGATGAGAATGATTTCTACTTCAGAATCTGGGTCATTGTCTTTACGGAGGACTAGAGGAGGCCTGCATCGACCTACTCGACAACGTCGACGAGCTTGCAATTATCAACAGTAATTCTATCTCATTTCAATCATCCAGACGCTCAGAGAACGTGCTTGAGCATAAATGAACCATCTTGATCGCGTTTTTCAGGATTCTATCCATCTAGACCAAGAAATGTCAGACTGTCTTTAATGCCTGCCTACCTCAAGATTCACTGCATTTTAGTCAAGGACAAACTCATTTGGTGATGCCGAGTCTCTGGTGCTTTGCGCAATACTTCATTGTGTCAGAAACTATTCAAGAGACCGATTTACTAGTGTGACCCTTTGAGCAAAGTCCACTTTGCTGAGGTGAGGGCATCTTTCCTGGCAGAAACGTCCGACGTTCAGAGTCAGCTCCACATCATGGCGCATACCTGACAGCTTCCTCATGCCCAGGTTAATTTGTATGTCACCAAAAGTGAGTGGCTTTTCAGGACTCAAGATCCAAGAGAGAGAGGTGAATAGTGCAGATCAGTATTTGCTGTCAGCTGAGCCCATGATTCGATGAACGGCACCGATTTCTGCAGGCTGGATTTTGATCTCTTCGGGCTTTTACTGTATGACTGAGCTCCGCCAGAGACCAACGCCATCGATGAAAAGAAGACAGGCCAGCAAAGCCCATTCAAAGATACCATCAGCTTTCGCCTCGAAAGCTGAGGAAGTTTTGCTGCTAAGATGGTTGTTCAAACCACTTGTCTGGCCGTCTTCCAGTTTCATCTCGAGAAGATATGCCGTCACGGCGGAGTGAGCTTGCTGTGTAGACCCGAAATTGAGATGAATGGAACAGGAGCACACCAACGTGTCGATATCTTTCTCAGTCCGACGTGTAATGGCAATAGGGAATGTGGTCTTGCTGGTTACGATGAGGTCAAAAGTCAAACGTGAGAATGGCACCTGATGACTCTGCAGTAGCTCGTCCCATACATGGGCAAAGATTGCAGACAGTTGTAACTTCTATCGCACCGATGGCCATCAGGAACATACTCCACAAGATTGGCTCCGAGTCTTTGAATCCCGAATCAATAACTTTGTGTTTATTGTCAATAACCTAGGGCAACTTGAAGTCTTTCCATAGTAGCTAATGAATCAGTGAGGGCGCGATATTTTCTTTGACGCTTTCTCTTTCGTCCTTTCATGAGCAGAAAAAGTAGATGTCTTCAATGGGCTCGAAGTAGGATTCTGAATATCGTCAATCAAGAAGCAGGTGAATACTGACTTGTTGAGGCCCAGAATCCCGTGAAGCCGGAATATGTCGCTCTCAGTGTTTGGCAGTCACAGCTTGAGCGCTTCCTCGTTCCCCAGCCATTTTCAGGTATCTAGATTAGTTTCAGGGACTTTTCGAAGAGATTTGGCGAAGTCGACTGTTTAAAAACGCTTTAGGATGTGTAGTCCACTTGGGCTCGGCGATCAAGTCGCTCCAACGATCCTTAGTTTTAGGTCCAAGTAGACTGGAACAGAAACCTTGAAGATGACGGTTGGTCTGGCACCTCATTTGTTCTCTGAATTCTTGCAGTACAGCCGAAATATGCCTCACCAGGCGGACCTGTCATCTCGTGGTGATCTGAGTCCCCGATCTCGGTTGTTTCCTTTGGCCATCCAAGTTTCGAGGAAAAGTCACCGGAAACATATGGACCCATCGACTAGATGAAGATCATCCATTGTAGTATTGAAGAGCTTATTTTGACCCAAATTAGCCGAGTTTCGACCTTCTTGGAATGAGTGGATATAAGTTTTTAGTTACTCGCCAATTGACGACGTCATCTTGAATAAGATCTAACAACCCGACATTTTACATCAAGGACATCCAGTGGTATTTGGTTCAAGTTTAAATTCGGTTAGGCCGGTGGCCACCTGTGAGACAGTGGGCGCTTTTTCACAAATCGTCCCCTGAATGTGAGGCATGCTTTATGCCAGCTGGGAAATCACTACGTTCATCGCGAAACTGCTTATGACGTTCTCAGCAAAACCACGGTTGTGGTCTTGAATGGAAACGATGTGAACTGAAGACGGATCCGAGGGCGTTGGACGATTGCAACAACGCAATGGCTCCCTTTCTGAGATTCATGACGAGTTTCGTGATACATTCATCTCACCGCAAATTAAAGCTACGACGGGACGCCAGTGAATCTGAGAGACTCGCATATGTGAGAGGAACCGGCCGGAAGGGAGGCCAAGAAAGCGGTTGAGACTTGTTGCGAACATCGTCTAAATGCATCTTTCGGGTGAGCGTGTAGAAGACTCTTACGGCAGTTTGGAAGGACTGAAAAGAGCTTGACAGCTGGGTTGAGATTGCAGTAAAAGTGTCGAAGGCCTATGAGAAACGGCCTGAAAACCTTGTAAGTGTGTACTAGGAAAATAAGAAGAGCGCGCTTGGTAGGAAAATGCCCACTTCTTCTTCGCTCTTATGGATGAGCTTCAAGGTGTATTATGTTTTTGAGGCTCATTTGTTCATGGCAAGTATGAAATAAGATGAGCGATATCTCACAATGAAACAAGGTTGATGCTTATGTCTGTCTAAACTTACAATGCTTTTTCATTTACTCGCTCAATGTAGCTTGAATCTACCTTAAATGCTTCAGATGTTTATCCACGTCCCTCTATCTCAGTTCATCCGTATGATAGCGACACTCACAAAGTGACCCAACGTACCTAGTGAGTGTGTTGATTGAATGGCTTAGTGATGTTCACTGTTGAAGTATTACACTGCTCCAATGCTTAGAACACTTTTGTAGTACTTGAGATTGACATTTCATTCCTTCAAAATTGAGAAACGAGTATGTTTTGATGATGAACACGTGCTTTGTGTCTCAATCCCAGAAACATGAACCTGATACTCTAGCCCATCAAAAGCTTTGTGATGTGAAATGAAGTAAACGCAATGGAGGCTGCTGTTCTTTGAGATCAACCGGGCTCAATGAATCGGGTATCATAGCTCAAAAATGAGAGAAATGGCTTATTCATGATATCACCGATGAGACAAATAGAATTGCTCTTCTCTCTGCAGTTTTCCGGTTTACCAGAGATGATCTATCATGATTATGCTATGTGGCATGCCATTTCTGCACTTTTCTGTCACTTTTTTCATCTATCTGATAATAATTATGAAGTTTGCTTCATTACTAATCTTCAACGATAGGTCACTCACGCCATTCCCGTTCATCGGTCTCATCATAAACCTCCTCTAGTCTTATGATGTACTCAATCTGACATAATTTTCCGACCTCGAATGAGACTTGGATCCCGAAGGAGAGCAACAATTTACCGCCCTCGTGCGCCGCCTCAAATGCACCACATATTGCGCCTGCGGTCACTTTTTGCATGCCACTGGCACCACAGCTTTCAAACTCGATATGGGTTTCGATGTGAAGTCTCACTTTTAGCGTTCAAAACATTCTCTCAATTTCATTATGTGCCACGGTCTTTGGCCGGCTTGCAGATGCAATCATTGCCCTTGACAACGTCACCGCAAAGATGTCACGCACTACCTCTCACCATTACCATGTCATCACTGGAGCTCACCGGTGACTGCGGAATCCAAGTATTGACGACAGACCCATTGTGGAAGTCAGCGACTCCACCTTGGAAGACTGGACAGACTCCCAGAAAGAGCTATCAGTTTGCACGGTTACATGTATATCTCACCTAAATGCCGGCGCTTGGGTACATTGAGCCCAATGATGAGAGCGTCAGCAAAAGGGTGAGGAGACAAAGTAAGGCTGATGGCAGGTTCCTGTCGGTCTGTCTTGCCCACCTCAACCTTTGGGCTGCCCAATTTTGGGTAGCTCATGACTCAGCATCTGCCCGAGGACGGGCCAGGAGCTGCTTCCCTCTCATTGCGTGTGGTGAAAGGTAATACCTTCCATCAGGTTGGATATCTTGGTCAGGATACTGCCTTCTTTCGCTTTTTTTGGTTCTTCCATTTACAACGTTCCTGCGATGTTTTTACAACTTGCAAATCTTGGTGTGTTTCTCTTCAACTTCTATTCTTTCTCTCTCTTCTCAGATTCCATCCTCCATTTCGCCGGTCCGACTTCCTCTTCAACTCCAAAGGAAACACGAATCGGCCTTGAGCTCACCTGCATGATCTCCCTCACTCGCAATGCACCGATTTGCTTTTGTGCTACCGACGAGTTGCAGGTGCAGCTGAACCTGCAAAAGGCTCAAGCTATGAGGTACGTATATGCGCGCTTCATGAGGTCCGTCTCCTCCCCTCGTGATGTTTCGTTTCCTGACCTCTTTGACCTCGACACGCACGCCAACATTGCCGCCCTTGTTTTTCGCTCGCTTTTGTTGTTGTGTCTTTTCTTCACTCGCGTTTCGTTTCGTTCCGTTTTGTTTGTGTAGATACGCTCTCTGCAGTGCAGGACTCTTCCCTTTCTGAGCACAGGTCTCATCCTAAGCACCACAACCGCCAACATGTCTCTCACTACAACCCCGAAGCCCATCGAGCAGGAGAATGATATCCAACTCTCTCTTCAGAACCTTCGCCAGGCCACTACCATCGCAGAGAACGTTCTGGTGGGAGGACAGTCGATCCACGAACTCTGGCAAACCCTTCGCAAACAGCATTGGCACCATGCGTGGCGTGCTCATCAAAAAAAGACCCAGGAGCAGCAGGACGACGAGACGACAACCGACCCGCGTGACTGGGTGGCATTTGTTAAAGGGGTGATGTCTCGACGAGATCTTGATTTCGTGATTTTGGTGGTGTACCGCGACGAGGCCCAGACGCTGCGAGACAACTCTCACAAGGAATTCAAACGCCGATACAAGGCGTTTCGAAATAGCATCACTGGTATGAACGACGAGGAAGTTGTTTTTCAACTGAGCTTCAAAGCCATCGCCTCCGTAGCGGCCCTCAGGGCCATGAACGGCGTGCTTTCTTCAAGATCGCCTGGCGAGCGGATTGAAGTCGGAGAGCTCTTTGCTCTGGCTCGACGTGAGATGCTCGTGCGGCACCGGGACCCATGCACCCCGCCGACTGTCGCCATTCAGGATGTGGCCAAGGCCGTCAAGTGTACGTTTTGTCATTCTTGATTAATACCCTTCATCTTACTCTCTATCCGTGTTACTGACATAAAATCGACTGTAGTCCTCCGAGCCCAACAGCCCTCCCTCGCGCCCGCTCTCAGTCCCGCACCAGTGTCCGCTTCCGCTTCCGCTTCCGCTACCGCCACCGCGCCCGTACCAGCTCTTGCACCAGCTCCCGCACCAGCGCCCGAGCCCGCACCCGCCCCGGAGCCCCAGTCCCAAGCCCAAGCCCAAGCCCAAGCCAAGACGCCGGAGCCCCCTACGCCGAGCTCTGCTGGTCCAACGTCTCCCACCCCCGAATTCACCGGTCTGAAGCGCGCCGCCCCCTCACTGGCACACGGATCCCCCAAGCCGCCAACACCGAAGCGTGTCCGTGTCGCTTCAGACGAGGAGGAGCGCGGCGATCAAGAGCAGGAGCAGCAGCCTGACAACGACGCTGATGAGGACGACATCAACTTTGGTGATCCTTTTTGGAACCTGGACGAACCAGAGTTCCTTGACAACGAGCCTGCGCCTCTGAGCGACAAGCCGAAACCTCCCGTCGACCGCGTCCAACAAGAAGCAGACGCTTGGAGGGACATCGTTCATCAGATCCTCGCAACGCCCCTCCCAACCACGGCTCCAATGCTCTTCAATGGCCGCGTGGCCGCCTTACTCGACGCCGCCAAGGAAGTCGGCTTGCTCGTCGACGATGTGTTGGAAGAAGACCCTTTGCATGAGGAGTCCTAGTCTTTCTGTGTATTGTCGGCCGCTCGGTTTGGACGTTTTCGGTTTTCGTGTCTTGTTGTGTTTCGGCTTTGCTCCCGTCTCGTGTTTATGCCCCTTGCATGATCCCTAAATTTCTTCTTCTCGGTCTCGTTTTTGTCGTTTTCTGTTGTTCTAAGCCTCGGTTTTTATTTTTCTTTCTTTTGCCAGAAGATGAGCTCACATTCATGACTTGTCGCTGCTGTTTCGTTTCTTGTTGTCAGTGGTGTGTTCTTGTTGTATATGTCTTCTGTCCCGGTCTCGACATGACTATTGGAATCCGGTCTTAACCGTGGACTTCTGCATTTCCACTTCCGGCAACTGTTTCTCACTTATTTCCCATTCGGACCACTGCTAACATCCTGGGTCGACGCACAGGATCTCTATCGCCCATCATACATCATCCGAAATCCAAGTCCGACACTTTGGCAGCCTCATGACCTTGAAAACCGATAAGCCTTCATTGCCGTGCATGTGCTGACATTTTTTCCAGGGATTATGCACATAACTGCGATGAATTCAATATCCAATTGTGGCCTTGCCGTGACTCACATTTACCAGCCTGGAAACAGCGCCTTGTGGTAGTAAAGGGTACATTCTTTTTGCGGTAAGTAATCCTACTACTAAATATTTCGTGCTAAATAAGTCAAGTACGGAGAATCGCAACATTGTCTGCCGTAGCTTCTGCCAATCCATTACTGTCCACGCAATCTGCCATTTGCTTCTGATCTCCATGATCGGATAGCTTGTAGATGCTATGCACCAGGATTCATGAGTGATGATCAAATACCTACGTGTAGAACCATAATTTGCAAGGTCACATCGGGCGAGGACACCAATTCCTTTGCCTCGGAGGTATCCAATTGGTCATCTACATGACATATACCCCATTTCAATTTTCAGTTTTCTCTCTATACCTTAATCTCTTGAGCATCATGTCCACGTTTGAGCTGTATCGATTGAGATGAATGTTCAATGCATTCTCATCTGAAATAGGTCGCGACACGATCGGGGCCTGCTGGCGGCGCAAGATAGTGCGTCCTCAGCAAGATTGGATTTGTCCATGCCCCCAAACTCAACTGTTCTGGGCTCATGTTGAACATTACTACTTCTCCTGGCTGAAAGAGAAAACGACCCACGGTATTTGCTGCCAAAAACCTTCTGGTCTGTTTCATGAACTGAAGTGGGGTGCATTTCTTCGTCCAGATACATTTTCCAATCGCGCGTAGTCCATCAAATTATTTCCAGTTCGTTCTGGGCGAATGGAACTCAATCGCATTGACGAGATGTTCACTCGAGACAGGTCCAGGTGTTTCGTTTATGCCTTTCGCTTCATAATTCTACTTCTCTCTCGGAACCTCTTGGTGTCCTCGAAGTTACGGATGATAAGGATGGAGTTGCGGGCTCACACTACCCAAACAATCCTTGTGCCGGTCTCGGTGAGGCGAACAGCTCATTGATTCTGCGACGCCTTATGCTGCAATCTGTCATATGTGATTATCAGGTAGTAGTCTTGTTGCTGAAAATACGTGCGGGAATTGCTCAGAGTGACCTCTCATCATCAGGAACCACCTGACAAGCGGATACGGACTCTTCCAAAAGCGCTTTGAACTTTCGTCTGGAACTTCGTGTGAGATTCAGCTTATCCTCAGCCAGTATACTTGGACCTCTCTCATTACTTCTCTAGCGACACCCAACGAGTCCAGATTGAGGCCGGATGAAGGCCATGTCTCCATGGACTGCACACTCTCCGCCAACAACCTTGCAGACGCTGTTATGTCGACCTTTTCTTCTTTCTCTTTTGACAATGTTTCTGATACCGTCATTGAAATGAAATCGTCTCCCTCGGATGTGAGCTTCTCGAACCCTGTCACTGCGAACAACCTTTTCGATATCGCCACCTTTGAAGAGAAGAAGATAAAACCCATTGACTGCAGCCATACACAACAAATTGGAAGATCAAATTTTGTTTCGAGCCTGAGTACGACTTCAGAATAGCAAGACTGTGATCAAAAAGCTGTCCGGGGGTCAAGGGCGAATCGCCGGGCCACGCCATTGCTTGTAGACACTCATCAAGTCCCTGACTTGCCATGAACCCCAATTTGGTCCGGGGAAGATCAATGAATAATTTGGTTGAATCGGAACGCAGTACTGTCCAATGTATCTCCACAAACCGCTCAAGTATTCTTCTACATGTAAAAGAAGGCGAAACTAATCTTTCTCTATACTTGAGGAGGATAACTCCGCTTTAGTGAATGGCTCGCTGACTGTGGCTTGGAAAATGCCTAAGCGACTTAGTCTCTCCTACTTTGACGAAGGGTAGCACACGTTGCGGCTTTGGTGGACGTGCTGATGACCCTTAACAAGCCACAATGGCCCAATGCTTTCTTCAGAAGTTCAGAGACACGTGTTCATTGTCGCTCGAGTGGGGTGTTGGGCAGGATTGGTTCATCTACAAATTGCGACCTGGCAAGGCATTGCGAGACAGGCATTTAAGGAAGGCCTGGCATGTCGGATGCTTTTGATGTTCCGTCCAAAGACGGCCCCAAGCTCCTAAGCTCCTCATTGGTGACATCCTTGGGATCAAAGATGCTCCAGCAATCAGGGTGAAATGAGCAGACTCAAGGTCCGACGAGACGGTGATAGTGGCAGGCCAGCATTCGAGGTCGTCTGAGAGCACAGCCTAGAAACCACTGACCAGATTGATATGCGGGCCATGACTTGCTATGGATAGTATCGCTGGGGGAAGGCCTATGTCATTCAGCATCACTGGATACTTATGGAAATCTTGATTGTCTGATCTCATGCGAAGGACCTGGACGGGTTGCTGAGATTTGGTCCATGGTTTTGCTCGATGACATGGACATTGACATTACAGCCCCGCTCAAGCTCTTCTCATTTCGCTAGTCTATGGGACACTGTATCCTGTTTCACCATAAGCAGCGGTTTGGATTATGAGGTGAGAAAGAGATCTTGGCTATCAGTGTTTCCCACACTTCTATTATGTTGTCGAGCGATAAAGGGTCCGAGGTGGGATTGTGGCTGCTGTAGCTAGTTGCAGAACTAAGAGCGAATACAATCTTGGTCTCAAAGACCCAAGAGATCAGGATTCATGCAGTCTCTTCACAAGTTCACGTCGCTAAGCAGCTTCGTCACCTCATTACGATCATACTCCGTTTTCTACGAGCTTTGGTGGTGGTTGGGTTCGCTCCGCCGCGTTCAAATACCCTCTCGTAAGTGTTATGTGTATATGCTATGGGACGTGGAAAGTGGCCGCTAGTCTCGAGCATACGTAGTTAACGACGCCCTTGTTATTATTTAGGTCGCGTGGGTGCTGGTGCATTGCGCTCCCCTGGCCTTGTTCTCGCCAGCGTGTCGCGATGAAATGATGAGAGATCGTAACGGCAACATAGGTCGAGTGAATGGATCCGCAGAGCTAGTGAGACTTTCTGGTGAGTTCTTCTGGAAGGATGCGTCGCTTCTACTGCAGAGGCGTGTCTCTACCAAGAGGAACTATTGTATTCAAACGATGCCCGACGTTGCCGCCGCTAGGTTGAAGGTCATATATGTGAAAGACGTCTGCTACACGATCGCAAGAGCAGAGCTGGCGGGTGAAGCGATTGTAGTGCAGCGACTGAGATGCAGCGAGGAAAAGGCGGCGCGGGCACTGTGGTTATTTAGGTAATCAAGGCACGTGCACCATGGGCGATTGGTAGCTCGATCAAAGCTCTGCCTCTCATTGGTCCTAAGCACTCACCGGACTCTCACCGAATTCTCACCGAACTCTCGACCACCACCTTGTCCCCGGGTCCCGAATAAGCAGTGGTAATCAAGGTAGAAAGTGCTCGCCGGCCTAGGTGCTGTGAGCCTTGACAACACCGAAACGTACTACTATTCTCGACTACGGCGTGCACTCGGTGTCCAGTGTTCGGAATGGCAAATTGTCAGATTGGCCAGCCACACGTGGCTACCTATCTTACCTTACCTAAGCACGATCACCTTTGTGGCGCGCACAAGCCATCTCAGTAAGCTTGGTGACCTGAAGCCCCGGCTGCAGGGCAGCGGAATTTTCGCCGCCGTGAGGTACTCCGTGAAAAGACCCAGGGACTGGATTCAAGAGCGCTTGCATGAGTTCGTCTGTCCAGTCCACCAGTCTTTCGCCTTGATACTTGCTGCAGCGATGCAATGATGATGGCTGCGGCGGGATCGTGACAGCGATACGCATCTGCGTTGAGGCAGGGCGGCGCGTGGGCTGTTGGATTTGGCAATACTCAAGCGAGGAACCGATGCAAATCTCAACCTCGGCAGATCTTAGAAGACAGGACTTTGTTTGGATGCCATGGGGGTGTGGTGTGACTGCTGTGTGGCTGGATATGGCTATCATTGGCTGATGGAGGTGGCTTTCACTGGCCGACCACTGAGTCCGGAGTGGAGGAGCCAAAGGTCTACTACGTAGCGGGTAGAACTTCGAGTCGTCCAAGGTCCGTCCAAAAGCAACCAGCACGCCAAAAAGCCCAGCACGTGCCCAGCTGTCGAAGCTTGCGCTAATAGGCAGCCCGTGCTGATCCTTATGTAATCACCACCTGGTGCCCTTCAACCGCAATTGATTGAATCTGCGTGTCAATGAAATTTTGGGTCGCCTCATGTAAGCACACGCAGGCTGGTCCCGTCGTTGCCTTGCGCGTCAGAGGTTGTGGTGTCCCACGTCCAAAAGTCGATTTGCGAGGCTATCTAAAAGGATTGGCTCGACATTGGACGATCTGGAAAGCTTTCATGTGTAGCCAACACATCTTGCTCCAGGCATCCGTCCATGTTCCGCTTCAGACACCTGTGATCCCTCGCTAAGCATGTTGCTACTTCTCACTGCTTTCTTCTCCCTGTGGTATCCTGACCAGACGTTGATGCCACGATGAGCTGGTAGTTCACCTGGGTTTAGCATGAGACGTACTGACGTTCCCGTCACGCCGTCACATCACAACTTTCTC